GAATTGAATGCAATGAATAATAGTATTCAAATTACATTTTCTGCCCTCATAATTGATAGGGACCCTATTTCAAAAAAGGGTATTTTAGTCAAAAACATTCTAGAAATCTTAGACCGTATTCGTACTTTTTATAGTAGTATAGGACCCTATTTCAAAAAAGGGTATTTTAGTCCAAAAAAATTCCAGAAATCTTGGACCTTATTAGTCCAAACAAAGGGTATTTGTTTTGCATTTTATCAAATTTTAATTTTTTATTATTTAATTGTTGGCTTGTTACAACAACGCAACATTGGTTGGCCTAATATATTTGACCCAAAATTGTTTAATTTCTTATCACCACATAAAAATACTGCTTTTCCAAGTTAATTTTAAAAGTTCAAGTTTTTATTTATTAGAATTATTTATGTATGGATTTAATAATTAGTGGAATTTAGTAATTAAAAGAAACAAAAATGCCTTAAACATATGGTTAAATGAGGGTGAATGAGAGTTAATACCTTAAATGAGATTTAATGAGAGAGAATTGAATGCAATGAATAATAGTATTCAAATTACATTTTCTGCCCTCATAATTGATAGGGACTCTATTTCAAAAAAGGGTATTTTAGTCAAAAAATCCAAAAATCTTAAACCCCATTTGACCACCACCTACATGAAAACACTATTTTTTTTGGTAGATTTTAAAACTATAAGTTTTTATGTTATTGGAATTATTAATTTATTATGTGTGGATTTAATTTATAGAACTTAATGATGAAAAAAAACAAAAAGGTTTTAAATATATGATTCAATGAAGGTGAATGTAAGTTAATTCCTTAAATGTTGGATTTAATGAGAGAGAATTGAATGCATTGAATGTTAACATTATCATTTTCAGCTCATTTAATATCACTAACCGATTACCCTATTTGCCCTCATTTTTATCAATAAATTTAAATATGGAGGGATAATTTTTGTCCTTAAAAAATTCCAGAAATACTCTTAAGGTTATTTGTGCTTTTTAAAGTAGTATAGATATTTTTTTTTACATTTTATCAAGTTTTAATGTTTTTTATTGTTTAATTGTTGCAATAATGCAACATGGGTTGGCCTATATATTGACCCAAAATTGTTTAATTTCTTACCACCACATAAAAATACTGTTTTTCCAAGTTAATTAGTGGAATTTACTAATTAAAAGAAACAAAAATGCCTTAAATATATGGTTAAATGAGGGTGAATGAGAGTTAATACCTTAAATGGGATTTAGTGAGAGAGAATTGAATGCAATGAATAATAGTATTCAAATTACATTTTCTGCCCTCATAATTGATAGGGACCCTATTTCAAAAAAAGGGTATTTTAGTCAAAAAATTCCAAAAAACTTAAACCCTTTTGTACTTTTTATAGTAGTATGGATATGCATGTAGCCATGCTTTAAACCTTCCTTAAAATTTCTATATATTATAATACTTTCTAAAAGGAGACAAAAGTGAACAACATGCATGTTCCATTTGATTTTAGAGACATCTTTATGAAAGAGATTTTAGGATAACTATTAAATTATATAATTGATATGGAAAATATGAGGGAGAAGTTTTTTGAGCTTTTGTAAGGTGGAGTACGTACTCACACTAGTAATATCCTTTCTGCTATTTATATATACGCATACTTTTGGTCCATTCTCCATCCAAGGTAACCCTACTGAGACACTGACAACACGACACTAAGAGCAGTTATGGCCCTCCAAGGAGACAATTTTGTTGCTTCTGAAGTGAAGCTTGAGAACATGCTTTCCATGAAAGGAGGCAAAGGAGAAGCAAGCTATGCAAACAACTCAAAAGCTCAGGTTGCCTCTCTCTCTCTCTCTCTCTCTCTCTCTCTCTCTCTCACCATATAACACAACCTGATTCATCATATTTTCTTGGTTACGTTGTTTCTAGCTCTTAGCACATCTACATTTTCCTTCCTTTGTTGGGGAGAGGGGAATTAAATCATTAATGCCCATAATTACTGGAGGCTACTTTTTATTCATCAGTTTGGTTCTTCTTTTCTTTTTTTCATAAGCTTATGATGATGATTCTAACTAGTTAATTAGTTAGTTATTCTTTGGTTGGTGCTTTAATTTCTGCAACTAATATGTAGCAATAAGTTTATGATGATGATGATCCGATCGTGTTAATGCATGCATGCAGGCTCTACACGCCCGATCCATGCTTCATCTGCTGGAGGGGACGCTGGACATGGTGCAACTACACTCATCCCCAGAAGAGGCTCCGTTTGTGGTGGCAGACTTGGGGTGTTCATGTGGCTGCAACACCATCTACACCACAGACGTGATCATCAAACATATGAGAAAGAGGTATGAAGCCATGGGATACCAACCCCCCGAGTTCTCTGTCTTCTTCTCCGACCTTCCTTCCAACGACTTCAACACTCTCTTCCAGCTTCTCCCTCCCTTACCCATTGCTGACAAGGGTAGCATGGAAGACTGTATAGCCGCCTCCAGCAACGACTCCGACGGCCACCGCTCTTACTTTGCCGCCGGAGTCCCTGGCACTTTTTACCGTCGACTCTTTCCGGCTCGATCTGTTGATGTCTTCCATTCAGCCTTCTCCTTGCACTGGCTCTCTCAGGTCTGCACTTTCATTATTTAACGCATGCAGCATAGGCTGCTTATAATAATATCAACATGCATGGTTGAATGCTGTATGGATACACTGACAGTACTGAACGAATAACACTTTTGTGTGAGGTGACCACGAATAGGTACCAGAGATTGTGACGGATAACAAGTCCGAAGCCTATAACAAGGGAAGGGTCTTCATCCACGGTGGAAATGAGAGCACAGCCAATGCATACAAAATGCAGTTTCAGACGGACTTGGCAGGGTTCCTGAGGTCTCGATCACTCGAGATGAAGAGAGGAGGCTCCATGTTTCTGGTCTGCTTGGGAAGAACCTCGGTAGACCCTATAGACCAAGGTGGAGTTGGTCTTTTCTTTGGCTCCCACTTTCAAGAAGCTTGGGATGATCTTGTGCAAGAGGTAATTAATCATGTCTTATGCTAACTATTAAAAGCTATATATATATATGATGATGAGCTTATTATCCCAATTTTTTTTAAGGGCCATAAGGAACTAGCTTTTCTTTTTTTTTTTTTCCTCTTCTTCTTTGGAAAAGAATCTTAGCTCTAGCCTTTAGTACTGTTATATATAGTAGTTCAATAATGAATAATCAATAATTCAGTGCTAGAAACTGACGTACTTGGCCGGGGCCCCCTATTTCAAACCCTCTGGTGTCTTGATTTGACCCCATTTTAATTTAGTTCTGCCCACACGGCCGTAGAAACCAAAAGGCTATGGACAACATTATTGAAAGAGAGAAATGATTGATGTAGGGCTCTAACAAATTTATCATGAACCAACACCTAGCCCTGAGACCCCTGACCTGATTTCTGAGCAGGCTCGTTGTTAGGCTAATATCGCACACTTTTTTTTTCTTTTTTGGGAACAGCAAACATGTGATCTTTTAACCACCAAAACGTCACCAGAGTCTTCTATAAACTTGTTGTCCACTTTTCATCTCTCATGATTTTGATCAGAAAACAGGGTGATATTTTTTTTTTTTTTGGTAGAAAAAGAAAACTGAGGTGTTCTTGAAACGGTAGCTTCATTTCTATGTTTATGCCCCTTAAATAGTGCATTCTATAGCCTTCTAATGTGGTAGAAATAGTATAAAAATGATGATTATGTCTCAGACAAGGTTGGAAGATGCACAAGAAAGAAATAGAATGATTAGGATATGTATGGATATGCTAGAGTGTAGCCTTGTAGGATTGTGGCTTAAATGACCATTAGGTGTAAATACATTTTAGTAGTTGGTGACTTGGTGTGAAGAGTGAACTAATGACCATAAGTGTATTCTAGAACTAAACACCTTCCAATTTTATGGTCTTAGAAATAGGGGGTGCAATTTGGAAAATTTGAATCAATATAATCAAATCAAATTCAGATATGACCTGATTTCAATCCGAGCTTTGGTTCTATGGTTCAAAATCATGGAAAAAAATTAAAAACTACCTTCATTTCAAACACCCATCATCAAATGTGGCAATTGATGAAAACGGAAAACCCATTTTAAGTATTTTGACCCCATTCGATGAGGAACCCATCATTTCTATGTACGTCCTCAGAAGTCTGCGCTTTGCTACAAAACCCAATTCCCCCTCTGGCGATGAAGATCAGAAGCTGATTGTTCAAGGACACAGACCTTCATTCGTATCTCCATACTAAGAGAGTAAATTTGATCATTATATTGCAGGGACTGATAGAAGCAGAAAGACGTGACAGTTTCAACATTCCAGTGTATGCGCCAAGCCTACAAGACTTTAAGGAGGTGGTGGAAGGCGATGGCTCATTCGCCATAAACCTCCAGGTTGTCAATGGAGGGAGCCCGCTTGTAGTTAATCGACCCGATGATGCAGCCGAGGTGGGTCGAGCCCTAGCCAACAATTGTAGGAGCGTGTGTGGTGTTCTGGTGGAAGCACACATAGGAGGCCAGCTCAGTGACGAGCTCTTCGCCCGGATGGAGCGCCGAGCCACAATGCATGCCAAAGAGATGGTGGAAAACCTTCAATTCTTTCACATAGTTGCTTCTCTTTACCTTGCATAGAAGGGAAAAGAAAGCTTTCCAAGTGTTTTGATGTGTGTTGTTACCAACTACTGATTAATTATTCTCAGCTTGGTGAATTTGGGTCTTTATGTAATTATGTTCCTTTGAACCATCCAAACTATAAACAAATAAACACAAAGTAACAAGATAATTTCAAGTAAAGGGTAGGGATTCAACATTCCCCGCATCAGTTTTTTATTCTATCTAGTAGCCAAGTAACAATATAATTTAAAAGAGGCAATATGTTCCTCTAACTTACCTGACCTATTGATCGCTTTGGAATTAAGTATTTGTTGTTTCGTTGTGATCTGACTGGTCTCTATTAATTCCCTTGCTGAAGCAAGAGATCAATACAGAATCTATGTTTCGTGCTAGTTGTTATATATTCCTAGCTTTAGGAGGTTAATTCATACGAGGAAAAACAAACTGATGGGGTTATTGTAAGTTTGTTACCATCCTTTCCTATTGGGATTTTTTTTCTAATAGCCGGAAGAATATTGCAAAGTAGTCGAAAAGAAATTCAGATGGTAAAAGTTTAATGAACCTGATGTTCAAAATCACATTAACATCATGCAAGGATATGAAATTAAAACTAGCAAAACATTCTATATGCACTCTAGATGACCAACAATGGAACCACCTTGAGTTGTTGAAGCATCGGATTGAATGCTGTTTGAACGACACCCCCGACAAACCTAGTTAACTCAGATATAAATCATGAAATGAAAACCTAGTTCAGCGGTTTTCTTTTTTATCAGTAACACGACCAAATGTGAATACATAGAACTTTGTATTCAATCTGTTTTTTTTTCTTTGATCAAATATTCGAAAGTGACTACAAAGGATTTGGCTTATTTGCTTACAATAGAACCGTTCAGGGACTCATTTGTGGACTCATGTCAAATGATTTAGCAAGATAATTCTAATCCTCCATCCAACCGGTTTTTTTTTCTCGGGCAATAAATGGTCCATCTAAGGAGAAACATCAAGACAGAGTTTGCACGTTATAACATAATGAAGATGTGCATGACATTATTATTCTGTTATATGATTACCATATTTGTAGTTGCATCAGATTCATATCTTCAAATCAGCGACAAATTAGATACTGAGAATAAAGGGATGCAACTGTCTTTCATTCATGTGAAAAAAAAAAGAAAAAAAAATCTAGCTTTACATAATGTGTCAATAAATAAAGAAGATGCAGTTGAACATTTTCCAGCAAATATCAACCCGCCTGTACAAAAATCTAATCATACATAAAACAGCAATACGGAAATTGGAAAGTAGGCAAACAAAGATTAAGCACTAAGCTTATTGACTTGCTGACGGATTTGTCAATAGTTCAAGTGATTTTCTCAGGAAATCAATTGCAACTGGTACATCATCAAATGCCAAAGCCCCAACAGCAAACCTCGCAGCCTTGTGTGCTTCAGCAATCTTTTCAGGTGGTGGCTCATAATTACTGTCATAATGGAACACTTGAGCAGGAGTTGGTGATGGTTCTGCATTGGTTGCATTCCTGCTACCAGAAGTGTATTGAGCTGATGATGAATAGTTTGAAACAGGAGGAGATGACTGGTGAGAGAAGGAAGCATCAGAGCCTTGATAATAAGAAGGATAGTGTGACGGAATTGTTGAAAGGCTGCTGTCAGTAAAGCTAGGATAAGATTGGAAATGGGGATAAGAGTAGGAAGATGGTGCACTTTCATGTGAAGGGTAGGTTTGTGGAAATGGATTCTGGGGTTCGTGCTGATAAGGTTGATGTGGCTGAGAGTAAACAGAACTTTCTTGCCTATTAACTGGTGAAGGTGGCTGAGGGTAAGCAGAATTATCTTGTCTATTAACTGGTGGAGGTGGCTGAGAGTATGCAGAATTTTCTTGTCTATTAACTGGTGGAGGTGGCTGAGGGTAAGCAGAGTTATCTTGTCTACTAACTGGTGGAGGTGGCGGAGGGTAAGCAGAACTTTCCTGCATGTGACCTTCTTGTCTGCTAGACAGTGGAGGCTGGTGGAACTCATCTGAAACGCCATCAGCAGTTGGGTAAGTGGGAGGTGGTCTCAGATTAACAGAAGGTTGATGGTTAAAATCATGGTGGATGGGAGCAAGTGCATCAGATCCTGGGCCTGGATGGTAAGATGAATCGGGTTCATATCCGAGATCCTGAACAAAGTTACACTAGTTAGAGAATATTCAATAACATTGTTTCTCCATAACAACTGGGACTTCAAAGGTCATATAATTTACTTCCAAAGATGTCATCTGGTACTAAACTGATAGGGCCAGAGCATGAAAAGAAACATTTCAATTAAACTCACTACTCAATAGGTTAGTCTATATCATGTTCTCTAGGACATAACACAAAGTATAACTGGAAACATAACTCACAAAACAAGTTAATGCCTAAGTTCCTCAAACCAGAGCTGATTAATTTTCCCTATAAGAATCATAAAGGTTATATGCACCATCTTTCAGTACAACCAACTTGTCTTTGTGAAGCCAGGTTTGAGTAACTGTTCCAAACCCCTTCTTAAGAGAGCATTCGTGGGTCTACTCCTAGCTTACAATTTTTACTTCAAAATAAATAAGTAAAAAAAAAAGAAAAAGAAAAACTGGATTACAATCTCACTGAATGTGACAATCTCACAGCTAGATCAATTCTGAACAATAAGGATCTTGTGAAAGTAAAATCAAGATATCTATTTCCTCAAGAAACAAAGCCTTTGAAGCAGTCTTTATTTGTGACATTCTTACAACTTTTAAATGATAAAAAGTGCCAAACAAGTGATCACTTGGGACTGATGCAAAAGAAAATACGATTTATGAGCCACATTACCAGCAATGCAATCATGTGCTCCCTCAACTTTAAGTTGCAAGGAATTATGCAAAGATGAAATATACAGGATTTTTGGATGACATTATGTACTGGGCATTCAACTCAAAATGGCCATGTCATTTATATAGTTTCTTCTTTTATACAACAATACAACCTTAAAAGCTGCAGTATTGAAAAGAAAAATCTTCTGGTTTCTCCTTTTTCTACTTACAAATAAATATTTATATAATTTTTTAGTTCTGTAAATATACATGGCTTACTTATATTTAGCAGTGAACACTGGAAGAGCGGAATATGAAACTATTTTTTGTCCATCAATAGCTTCCTACTTGGGCAAGAAATCACATTCCCCTTATGAAGTCTATTTAATCAGCACATAATTCGACCAAACTAATTTGAGATAAAAGCTAGTTCAGAAACATACATATGCACCATTTGGGGTACTTGATGGGATTGATAAATCTTTATCACCACCAAGAGGGCCAGGTTCAGGTTTCCGCCCCTCTTTCAATGCCTTCCTTATATCTGCTGCTTTCCATACAGCATACTTCTGTTTTTGCTCAAGCTGTCAAAGGAAAGGGTACACAACTGTGTAAATTATTCAAAAAAAACCTAGTGATGATAATACAATTTGTCAGAGAATATCAGAATTATCACAACCTACAGTATAAGATAATTATTCTTTCTAAACCTTAGAACTTGGTAAAGAAACACCATATTAGCACCAAAAAAAAAACATGGTTCCAAACTCACATCAGGTTGGAGTTCACCAAACTGGTTAAGAATCTCAAAGAAGATGCTAGCAGCATAAAAGCTTTTTGTTGTATTCCTGTAAAAAGTATAACATACTTAGTAACAAAAAAAGTCAATTTCTTATAAAAGGATTATCAAAGGTTTCATCTTATAAAATGCATTTCAGTGGACATGGCAGTCATGAAAAAGGTCAAGAAGCCAACAACCAACACTCAATGGGTCCCACCCACAGGACTGTAGAGAAGAATCAAAGAAAGGGTAGTTTTGTAATTTTATTGTATCTTTATTCTTCTTTATTGTACTTTAATAGGCGTGTACATTAGTGACAGCTCTTCTATTTCCTTTGCAAGGACAATCTTGTCCGTTCACATCAGTTTAATATAAATACTCTCTTTTTGGGTTGGTTCGATCACATTGATCAACCCTAACAGATCTGAACTATTGTTTCTCTTCTTGCTATCTCACCTCCTCACGAACTGACATGGTATCAGAGCAGGCTGCTCTCTGATCCATTTCTCCTCTTTCTTGATCAGTTTGAGAGCAATCGTCATTGCCGATTGGTTCTGGACTGTTTTGATCACTCCAGGAACCAGTTTTCTGTGATTTGTGCATCTAGTAAGAGAGATTTCATTAGATCTCTCTCAAAAGACATCCGTTTGCAGTGAAAATTGAAAGGAAGTGTCGCCTAGTCCTCCTTATCATCTTCTAAAAGTTTCATTGATAACAGAGAAGAATTGAGAGGGATCTATACATCTCTTCTGGGCGGCAGCAACCATTCTTTCCTTTTCTGGACTGTGTTCTCAGTTTTCAACTATTATTGTATCTTGGAGACTCTCTTTTGACTGTAAGAGGTTTCTTCTCTTAGTTTGACTCTTTTGGAGACTCTCTTGGAGACTCTCTTGGAGACTCTCTGTGATTTTTGCACCTACTACAAACAGCAGGAACACATTATAGTGAAATGCCCAACCAGGCCTCCCAAGAAAATACAACATAAGGCTTATCATGCCTCGGCTGAACCAACTTCTACTGATACTGCCTCCCCTTCATCAGCTCACAAACCAGATGTATAGGGAAATTTGATTGAAGAAAAGATTCGTGAGCTCATGTCCTTAGCTATTTCCTCTGCTTTTTCTGCTATTGGACTAGCTGGTAAGTCTACTTATTTGTGTTCCTCTCCTTTTCACATGTGGTTCATTGATTCTAGGGCCTCCTTTGGTCAGTTTTCTAAACCTTACACCTCTGTCAACCATATTATTACTTCTAATGGTGATTCTCTTCTTGTATGTGGGTGTAATGATTTATTTTTGTCCACTTTTGAGTCCAAACCTTTACATCTTCCCAAAACCTTCTTTATGCATAAGTTGACTACTAGCCTTATTTCTGTTGGGCAACTTGTTGATGATGGTAATAATGTTTTATTTACCCATGATGGTTGTTTTATCCAGGACTAGCACACTTGGGAGCTGAAGGGGAAGGAGCGTAGGCTTGGAAGACTGTTTGCTCTGGAATTTGAGAATAAGAGAGCTTCACCTGACTACTACTTCTAGTTTTTCTACTACCTCTTGTGTGGCACTTATGGCATAGACATTTGGTTCACACTCATGCTAAAAACTTGGATTACTTATTTTTTTCTAGTTGTTTGCCTATGACTGCTTCTTCATTTAAGAATGTTGATAAATCCTGTTTAACTTGTTGCTATAGTAAAAGTCATGTTTTACCTTTTCCATATTCTACTAAACATGCTTCTACACCTTTTTACCTTATTCACAGTGATGTGTGGTCGTCTCCGGTTCTTTCACGCTTGGGTTATAAATATTTTGTATTATTTATTGATGACTATACTCAATACACATGGGTTTATTTTCTTCGAAAGAAATTAGAGGTTTTCTCCATTTTTAAGAACTTCCATGCTATGGTAATGACCTAGTTTAAAAGCACTATAAGCATTTTGAGGTCAAATTCAGGGGGAGAGTACTATGATGGTGAGGATGGTGAATTTCAAACCTATCTCAAAGTCTCAAACATGGCATTCAATCCCAAAGATCTTGCCCAGGTACTCCTCAACAGAATGGGGTATCTAAGCGCAAGAATCGCTACATTGATGGTGAGATCCTTAATACAAGACTCCCATGTTTCCATTACCTTTTGGGTGGAGGCAACCCGCACAGCTATTCACCTCATCAACATTCTTCCTACATCTATCCTTGGAAATTCTTCTTCCCATCGATCCTTGTTTCATCGCTCGCCAAATCTATTCATACTTCGTGTCTTTGGTTGTGTTTGCTTTGTCCATCTTCCACCCCATGAATGCACCAAGCTAACAGCTCAATCAGCTATGTGTGCTTTCATGGGATATAGTATGGAACACAAGGATTTTCTCTGTTATTATCCCAAAGCCCGTAGATTGTGTATTTCTCGCAATGTCATCTTTCTTGAGAACCTTTCATTCTTTGAACATATTAGTAAATTGCCTGCACCATTCATTTCTATTATGCATCACTTTGTCTCTGCAGGTGATTCTCCTCCATCTCAACCACTTCAAGTTTATTCTAGGAAGCATCCAGCTCGCCCATCACCTATGCCTCCTCCACTTCCAGCAACAGTGACTGGTCACTCCTCTCCATCTATTACTATTGCAAGTTCCCCTTCTCATCCCAAGGATTTACCTTCATTTATTCCTTTGCGTCGATCATCTCGTACTTCTCGTCCACCTAACTGCTATGCTTCTTTTCTAGTCATAGCTCCTTCTCAATTGTTTTGTCATCCACAGATATTCCTAAGTCTTACAACCAGGTTGTAGCAATTAAGCATTGGAAAGATGCTATGGATTGAGAAGTTCTGGCCTTATTGGAGAATGATACCTAGGAGCTTGTCTCTCCTCCCCCAGATGCCTCCATCATCGGTAGTTGATTGGTTTACAACGTGAAACTCAAATCAAATGGTACTCTAGACAGATATAAGGCCCATTTGGTTGCTCAAGGCTACAAGCAAGAATATGGAATTGACTATGATGAAACTTTTGCTCCTGTGGCTAAAATGACAATAGTTCATTTATTCTTGGCCATTACTGCTCTTAAACAACGGACAATTCACTAGATGGATGTCAAGAATGCCTTTCTCCATGGCCATTTACAAGAAACAGTTTATATGAAACCACCTCCCGAATATTGTGGCAATCCTTTTTTGGTGTGTAAACTGAAGAAATCTCTATATGGTCTTAAACAAGCTCCACGAGCTTGGTTTGACCGCTTTCGTACAGTAGTGTTAGAGGCTGGTTTTCGATAGAGTGCTTCAAATTACTCCCTTTTTACTCTCAAGTCAGCTCAGGGGTTGACTCTTCTTTTGGTATATGTTGATAATATTCGTATCACTGGAGATGATGTGGACGGCATTAAACTGAAGCTTCTTCTCAAAATGAAAGATCTTGGGCCAGTCACCTATTTTCTTGGGCTTGAAATTCAACGATGCCATCAAGGTTATTTTGTCAACCAACAAAAATATGCCTCTAACTTGGTGACTCTTGCTCGCTTGACTGATTCTAAACAAGTGGATACACCTCTAGAGCTTAACTATAAGCTGAGTAAAGATGAGGATGAACTTCTCCCTGATGCTACTTTATATCAACAGCTTGTAGGTGGTCTTATCTACCTAACTATGACTAGACCGAACATTTCCTATGCAGTCCAGCTTGTGAGTCAGTTTGTATCTGCTCCACGTTAGCCCCACTTCTCTGTAGTTCTCCGGATTATTCGTTATGTCAAGGGCACTCTATCACATGGATTATTTTTCTCATCTTCTTCCTCCACTCAACTCCGAGCTAATGCAGATTCTGATTGGGCAGGTTGTCCTGACTCATCGCTCGACTACTAGCTAGTGTAAATTCCTTGGTGATTCTCTGATTTCTTGAAAATGCAAGAAACAACGAACTATTTCCAAGTCATCTACTAAAGCAGAGTATAGAGCCATGTCCTCAGTATGCAGTGAAATAGTCTGGCTTAAGGCTCTACTTCATGACATGGACATTGATCACTAATCTGCTACTCCTTTGTTTGCTGACAACATGAGTGCAATCAAGATTGCAACCAATCCTGTATTTCCTAAGCACACTAAACATATTGAGGTGGATTGCCACTTTATTCGTAACCTTCTACACGCGGGCCACATCTCTCTCCCACATGTTTTGTTGGGCCTACAACTTGTAGATCTCTTCACCAAAGCTATGACCAAAGCCCGACACAATTTTCTTGTGGACAAACTAATGCTTATACCCCCAGTATCAGTTTGAGGGGGAGTGTAGAGAAGACAAAGGGTAGTTTTGTAATTTTATTGTATCTTTATTCTTCTTTATTGTACTTTAATAGGCGTGTATGTGTACAGCTCTTCTATTTCCTTTGTAAGGACAATCTTGTCCATTCACATCAGTTTAATATAAATACTCTCTTTTTGGGTTGGTTCGATCACATTGATCAACCCTAACAGATCTGAACTATTGTTTCTCTTCTTGCTCTCTCACCTTCTCACGAACTAACAAGGACATTAAACCATCCTCAACTAACTCAACTCACCCTTAATCCCAACTACTCAATTGGCTACAAGAATCCTGTCCCGCCATTGTTCTCTATCAAGAGCCATCCTATCCCAGGATTTTGATGAATCAGTCACCATTTTATTTTATTCTTTCCTGTATAACTACATTATATAAGCTCCTACTTAACCTAACAATAATGTAATTGGAATCAGTATAACAATGCTAAGTCAAGGGCACAGAGTGCCACAGACCTTTAGATTACAAAATATGAAATATAAGCAAGGATTGTGTGCAAATACAAATAAGATAACGAGTGTTTAGTTTTGTCCCTATCATGGGCACAGAGTGCCACAGACCGTTAGATTACAAAATATGAAATATAAGCAAGGATTTGTGCAAATACAAATAAGATATTGAGTGTTTAGTTTTGTCCCTAAGCTCCATGACAAACACATCCTGTGAATATTTATGATTCCCAACATTCTCCAAAACTAATTTAGAGAGATCTGGGAACTAAAGTGCAAGATTCCGATCATTCGTACAAATTGAAGCAATAAAGTATGCTGGTTAACTAGCTTTCTCCAAATGTCATTGTTAATTCTCCAACTATGGAACCTCCTCTGGACAAACTTCACTCTCCAACCTTAAGATCGAGCTGAAAAACAACTAGATGGATAGGTCATGTTAAAGGAGTCGTATGTCATATCTTTTTTTATAAGTAGTTGTATGTCACATCTTATAGTATTCTCAGATATTTAGTCATATGTATCACTATAACAGTCGCGTGCCTTCTTTTTATCAATAATCATAGACCATATCTGTATACTCTATAAGAAATTTCAAAGTGTCATATCTTAGACAAACTACTGCTTGCCATACAGGTCAGCTCGCCCAGCGCGGTCCTGCTTATCTGCCTTTGCAAAAACATTTAAGGCAAATCCTTCCAAATGCAAGTTGTCTTCAGGTCCCAGATTCAGTGACTTCTTGTCCTGTGGGAATGAAAGGAAATAAAATTAAGTTCATTCAAATAATACAAGATTAATAGCAGTTGACCTTGACCAAAAAAAAATTTGGCACAAATATATTTTGCATGTCAGAAGTACCTATGATCCTTACAAGGAAATGTTGAAGTAGGGGACAACAGATTATGAAAGTAGCAAGTAGCAAGTCTCAGAACAGTAGGAAGTCAGTACTCGCAATGACTCCTATCATTGAGGTTTCATCCAACTTAATTAACACCAACAAAATTTTCTAATGGTGTATGTCCTTTAATAATTGCTCTGATAAAAAAACGTCCTTTAATAATTGCATTTCAAATTCAGAGCTAGAAAATAAAAATAAAATGAAATGACCATCAAAAGACTTTTTTTTTAAAAGGTAAGATAAATTTATTAAATCAAATTATTAAAAGTACAAAACAGAACCTGCCAACAAGGCAAGCCTGAGACCCCCCCCCCCCCATTACAAGCACCAAATTGACTGATTTCTTAGTAACTGAGTTACATTTAAATGTCTGAATTCTGGGGTGACTGAAATCCAAGAAATCAGTTTACCAACAGCCATCTGAACTATTTCCTCAGGCCCTCTCACTCTTTGTTTAAAAATTCTGTTGTTTCAAATAGCCCAAATCACTGCTGTCGGGATGGAAATCCAGACCAGCTTCCCTCTTTTCTTCAAATTACTGAGCTTCCAACTACAGAGCAAATCCTTAACCAATTTAGGCATGACCAAACATACCCCCACAACCTTCAAGAAGTGATACCACACCTGGGCAGCAAATGGGCAATGAATGCAGAGATGATCTGTAGACTCCAGATGATCATCACAAAGGACACAAGACTTATCCGGGATCTGCAATCCTCTTCTTTCAAGATTAGTTCTGGACAGACATTTGTTTAAGGCTATTGTCCAGACAAGGAAATTAACTTTTGATGGGCAAATTGAATTCCAAACCTGCTCAGCAGGGAAGTCCCCCACTGTCACTCTACTACTGAGTCTACTGGCCATAGATTTTACTGAGAAAATACCCTTTTTGGACCAGACCCAATTCCACTGGTCATCCTGATTGTAGTCAATGTTCTGAACATGTAAAGTTTCCAACAACCTCGTAGCTTCTTGAACTTCCCAATCAAAAAGACCTATTCTGAAATGGGGAACCCATGTCACCTCATTGCCCAAAACTGTGTATACTTCAGCCACTGGGGAACCCATGACCAACAAAAGACATTTGTGGTACAAAAAACACTCTTGAGAACAAAAGAAACATTTTAACCATTTTTGGATGCAAGAAATTGCTAGAAGTAAACTTAAACAAAACTCTATTTTTGAATCTGAAAAATGTGTGCAGGTGCCTTATCTTTTAAGATCTACTTCATTTTCAAATAGGCAATCTCCTTTTGTGGCAGTGGATCTAGTCCCTACATGCCCCCACCAAAGTTCAGTGGTTGTTGTGGACAGCTATATTAACAACTGATCACTTAACATCAAGGCAATAACAATGTTTTAAAACCCGGCCTGGATGCTGAACCACTTTTCCCTCCAGGTCAATTGGTCAGTGGTTCAACCATCCAGGAAGGTTTCAAAAGTAAATAACACGAAAAAACCCAATAACCCATTAAACTGGTAAGACAGGTTAATGTCCAACCACCCAGAGAAATGGGTCATTGACCAGTCAGCAGTTTATCGTAATATGGCAGGTTAGAGGTTGACCCGAACTGGAATTGTGATTTGCGACCGTGTTCACTGGTATGGCAGGTCAAAAAAAAACACTAGGCAAAAGAACCTGCAGAAATTGTCTTTCATATGCCCCTAGTGAGAATCCATATCTTTGTTCCCTTTTATTGCATTATCCATACTCAAAGCAAATCTCAGTCCATTTCATTAGGATTTTGAATGCCAACAGTTCCAGAAAAGACCATTACCAAATGTCGGTCCTAACCTTTGGCATTTTTTGTGCTCAGACTTGGACCTGTGTTCTCATAGTTGCTAGCCCAATATTTTACTATTACACCAAGCCATAATTGTTAAGTCAACACCCATGCAGGCGCCTAGGCAATGCCAAGGTGATAAGGCAGTCATGGAGGGTCACCTCACTTAAACAAAGGCAGAAGTGTTAGCAGCTCTAACAGGGATTCGCCTAGTCAGCAAACTGGGTATCCAAAGCTTCTCAATTGAAGGTGACTCAGCCAATACTATAAGATGGTTGGAACAACAGCAAACTGGACCTTGGAGACTTAGTCACTTCGTATCAGAGGCAAGGGACCTCCTGGCTCCTTTAAATGTTTCTCTAACCTGGATCCCAAGGGAACTAAATGTAATGGCAAATGGTCTAGCAAAATTACGAGTTATTCTAGAGTCTCTGTACTGTGATTCCTGCCCTCCTGTGTAATTCTCAGGGGACTCGCCCCTCTCTTGTATTTGTACACACTCTTGTGTACCTCTCCTTTCTTCAATAAAATTGATAACTTTTCTCAAAAAAAAAGGGTCACCTCGCTTAAACGCCATGATATTTTTTGCATAGCGTTCTTGGCTACTTTTATATTCTTTACTTTTTAATAATATAATATAAAATAGACATTATTAAACTAAATTGTTCAGTTTAAGTTAAAATGCTAGTTTCTTTTTATTAATTTCTCATTTGTTAGGGTCCAATCAACATGTATACTGCCTTGAACCTCAAAGACTTCAAAAATTGAACTGATAAGCAATTTTATCCGATCAACACATATTCTTCTTCCACCCTTTTCTTTTTTTTGTCTTCTTTTCTAGAACAAAAATAGAGGCTCAGCCCCTCTATTTTCTAACATCACTTAGTTGAAAGAGCGTCTGAAGGAGGGCGATGGAGTGCTGCTGTTTCTCATCTTCGTTTTCTTCATACAGATAATGGTGTTCTGGAGACTGAATATCTGTTGTGCTTGCAAGATCTAATGAAAAGGGTTTGGTCTGGAAGAGGAGAAGCTTGCTGAGGGAGAATCAGCTGCTTCTTCTCTATCCATGATGCTGTCATGCTATCATAACAGAGAATGAAGGAATTTCTGATGGAGGAGCTATTCCAGAATAAAGAGCTTATAGTTAAAATTCGATAAGGCAGGAAAGGTACAGTTATGTTAGTAGGAGAGGCGGCGTTCTGGTTTCAAAGTTTTCTGGATGGTGCAACGAATGTAAGTTGGAAGCTGGATTGGAAAGACATGTTCAGATCTAGGAATAAAGAATACTATGCAGTAAGGAGGAGGAATGCAAAAGGATGGTTTGTGTCGCTTGAAGAAGGGTTCGAGAAAGGAAAAAAGCAAATGATCATTATGCCAGAAGGTAAGAGTTGCTAACGAACTTCAAGCCATGGTTAGCAGAAGTTGGGGGCGTAAAAAAAGGAGAACATAAAGGAAAAGGAAATAGCAGAAGTTAATGGGAAGGAGGAGATGAAGGAAATAAGGAAGAAAACCGAGAGATTAAGGTTTGAAGATAAGTGCAAATGCAGGGATTCTGTGACGATTGCTCTGTCACAGAGCCACAGTCCATTATTGATTTTCATTGGGTAAAGAAGGACAACATGTGGAACAGGAAGCTCTGGTAGTGTGGTATCAACTACCCAAGGAAGATGCAACTGCAACATGGGAGCCCTTATATCCAACTCCACCACCAGTTTCCCCATCTTGACCTTGAGGCCAAGGTCTGTCTTGACAGGGGATTGTTTGGACAAGCTGCACTGAACCCAGGCCGGTGTATGGAAATAGCCAGCCCAAACTCAAGACCTACAAAAGAAGAACTCCATGTCAGTTCTCTGGTCTAACTAATGACAGGGTGGCATAACTGAATGTAACAGGAACTGAGAACTGACCCCCAATAATGTAACAGAACATAATCTCTCTCTCTCTCTCTCTCTTTTCAGGAGGTGGTTCCTCAATAGAACCCTGTGTTAGGCAGTTCCCAGCAAAGACCCTGACTCATTGAGTGCCCAAACTCTAGAGTCTGAACCACCGCCCCCCGAGACCATAGAGTTCAGCAAATTAACCAAAGCAGAGACACTATAAAATTCAGATTCTCTCAAATTTCTAACAAAACCCAGATTCCAATTCAGATTTGAAAGTGAGGAGGAAGAGAAAATAAATGGGTTTTCCTTTGAAGCTGGAGAGAGCAAAAAGGGAAGGGAACACCTTGGACAAGGGGGAATCCCCAATCCAAATGTCCTCCCAAAATCTGATTTTCTGACCCGAAACCAAATCATACCTAAAGGGTAGAAGCAAAGGAAGTATTTCATGGATGGCATTCCAAGGAGCAGCCAAAGTAGCTCTATGCAAGCAGCCCGCATCCCAGCCATTGCTTGAATCTTGACGACCCATGGATACATGAAATAACTTTGGTCCACAATTTCTCATTTTCTTTAAGGAGCCTCCAAAGCAATTTACTTAACAAAGCCACATTTTTCATCTTCACATTTCCTATTTCTAAACCCCCTTCCTCTTTCAACTATCTCACCTTTTCCCACCTAACCAAATGATATTTTTCTCCTCCCCAGGCTCCAACAAGAAATCCCTCATGATCTTCTCAATTCTTTTAATCACAACTTGTGGCATCCTAAAGATCAACATGTAATAGATTGGAAGGTTAGCCAAAGTGGATTTAATCAAGGTTCAAAATATTGATACAGGGAGATACGCCAATAGGGCATATTTCCTTGACCAACATGTAATACAACCATGAAACACTTCCCAACAAAAAACACTAATTTTAAGGGGAATGGGAAAGAACCAAATTTCCTTGACTGTGAAAAAAAGGAGAAGAGGAGGTGGCTACGAAGGAATGTAAGAAGGATTTACAAGAGAACAACCCAATAGAATTAGGGCCCCAAACCCTAGAATCTGATCCACCTTCTCCCAAGAACACTAAATTCAGTAGGCCTAACAACTCAGACACACTAGGAATTACAGATTCTCTAAGGTTTCTATTAAATCCAAAATTCCAAATCATCCCTAAAGGATGAGGGTGCTGACTTAGGAATTCAAAAAAGGCCTACCCTTGAACCTGGAAAGATCAAAAAGAAGAGAGAATCTCTCACCTACAGGGGTATCCCCAATCCACACATCCTCACAAAATCTGATTTTCCGACCAAAAGCCAAGTCATACCTGATAGGATTTAGACAGGTAGGAAGAATTCCATGAATAGCCTTCCAGGGGGCAGCCAAGGTAGCTCTACAAAGACATCCAGCATCCCATCCATTGCTTGACATGCCATGAATACTTGCAACAACCTTGTGTCATAACTTCTCATTTTCATTGGGAAACCTCCAGTCATTTGCTGAGCAAAGCCAGATTCTTCAAGTTAACATTGCCAAATTCCCAATCTTTTGTGATGGGGACTGTTCTTCAAAGCATTCTTCTCCTTTAGAGAGAATTCGAGAAAAAACCATGGACTATTCATATTCTGAATCAACTTTATGAAAATGCTCATTGATGTTGCAGTTAAAGCAGATTTGGATATGGTTTCAGTTCTACCCCCAGGTTTCAATAGAGAAGTTTCAGCGATCCAATCACACAGTTTCAACAAATAAAAACTAATAACTTAACATCAAATTGCCCTTCCAAACAACGTCAAAACCATATTAAGTTCCCCAATAGCCATATTGAAATTAGAATAAAGTAACATTAGGAAGAATAAAACTTTAGAAGCAAAAACAGTATCCATGATCGAACCCTCAATAAATCCTAACATGGATGAATGTCCACTAAAAGTTAAACCAAGTCTAACCTTCTCTAGCTGATTCATGAGTGAAATAAGGAGTGAGTTCGTCATCTTCGTGCGATCCTTCTGAGGGATCTTCAACCCTCGTTCCATCGCGTATAGACGACCTGGCAAGAATAAATTTAAGAAAAAAAATAGGGAAAAAGAGAATGTTACAAACTCCACCAAAAGGAAGAATTAGGGTTGGAGATATTTTTTTAAGCCAAAAGTGGAAGAAAAAGGACGGCTTACAGTAGTAAGCGACGAGGAGATCATGTTTCTGCAACTCATCGGCTCTCTGGAGGTAAGGAAGAAGGAGCTTCGCTGGTTCGTTCTCGCTCCCCATCGTTTTCCTGATTTTCTAATAACAAAGAGGGAGGGGTCTAATCGGGTAAACGCAGGAAAGCGTGATTACACAAGCTGGTCTGTCTTCGAATTTGGAAGGAATAAGCTTCCACAATCAATGTTAGAACTTTAAAGCCTAAAGAATCCGAATCCCCATCAACACTTCAACTTGTGAAAACTTGATACCGTAGAATCCATGTTGTTCTCATCTCCACTTGACCCTTGTTTGTTAAAACCACCACGCTACGCCTACAATAGGTAGATCATTTCAGTAGAAAATTTGTTGGGGAAACCCCACTGAAACCCACCCCACGACATGGAGATGCATCAGCCCACTTCAACGCGCTAAAAGCCACTATGGGCCAGCTTTATTGAAAAAACGCAGCCACATCAGCGTTACGTCGGCGTTTGTAATGTTAAATTTATATTTATTAATATTTTAAATAATTATTAAAAAATATATATTTATTTATTTATATTAATATATTTTAAAAAATTATTAAAATAATAATATTTTAAATAAAATAATTATTAATATTTATTGATATTAAAATAAATATTAATATTTTAAATAATTATTAAAAATTCAAGAAATATTAATTTCAAAAATAATTTTTCAATAATTATTTGAATATGGATAGTTTTCTTTTTGTTATGATATGTAGAGGGTTAATTGATGGAGGACTATTTGACCCGACCTATGGAATAGTGACACGTGGACACTAACTCAGCACGAACAACAGCTCAGCATTGTAGCCTAGTGCGACCACGCGACGGGCCCATAAAGCAGTTCGCTACATCATAGCTCGCAAAAGGAGAAGCTCGCCACAACACGAGCTTCTCCAGGTTCCCCGAGCTACCTTTGGAGGGATACTCCGAGGCAACTTTAGCTCGCGAGCTAGGGGAACTAGCTCGCCCAAGCTCCCAAGCAGACAAGTCATCCCAAGGACCAATTCTATTA